TGGCGGGGAAACGCCTGCGTGGGAAAACACCGTGCTCTTTGCGTTCAATTTCCAAATAACGTTTGGAAGCCACCCCCCTGCCCCGCCGTTGTTGGCGTAGTGATTATTACTGCGATCCGCGAGGTCTGCAGTTCAAAGCCACCAGCCTCTCCTAGGGAGAAAAACGAGGTTCTGTACTCCCATACAGAACTACAATCTTGGAAACCCAGGGGGGCAGTTCTACCATGTCCGACCTAGAGGGTCGTTTATGAGTGCGCACCAACTCGATGGCAGTGAGTGTGTGTGTGTGTGTGTGTGTGTTCGTTTCCTCCTGTTCATCCATTGATAACCAACACACTTCCATTCGCTTCCTCTCCCTGCCGGTTCTTGGCATCACTTAGTGCGGTGTTAGGCACGTAGGAAGCACTATAATGTGTTCACGGAAGAAACATTGGAATTTGAAACTCCCTCTCTTGGCTGGAATTCGATGTCGAAGATGGGGTGAGAAGTATCAGAAACCCTATTCCTCTTGGATTCCTGCAGAGAGCACCGGCCAGGCTCATCCACGCCCCCCTGGTTGCCCAGTCAGTAAAGAGACGGTACAGAGTGCTTCTGGAGGCCTAGCGCGGTCACAAGATGACATTTTCAGGAATCATTTCCCCTAAACAGACACACGCCACCCACTGCTAGCTCGTCAATCCCGGCTTGTAGTGACTGTGATAAAACAGAACTGCTCCCTAGGGCTTCCGAGATTAAATACTTCATCTTTTGTCTGCAGAAGCACCTACCGGGTGGTAGCCACCCAGTGCTTAGTCCGTGGAGCCCCAGGGCTACACACACACACACACACACACACACACACACACAGTCCCCAGGAATCTGTATATATTCTTTTAAAGTGTCAGGAAATGTACCCATTTAAAAGTTGTTTTTCAGCTTAAAAAAAAAGTGAAGGGGAAATACGTATGGGTCAAGTCTCCCTTACATCTCATTGGAAAGTGGTTATTTTAGATACCGTCAGGTTAAAATTTAACACCTTGTCATTTAATCTTCCTTTTGCACCATTTAAAAGTGTTCTACTTGTAGTAGTCTGGGTAGACTAGAGAAACAAATTCATAGAAACTCATATGTGTATGAAAGAGTTTGGTATAAAAGGTAATTGTACATTAAGAAAGCATCCCAACCCAGCCCAGTCCAAGCCCATAAATACAATATTAGCCCGCATGTCTGATACCAATCTGTGAAGCCCTCACAGAACACATGCAATGACGTTGAATGCAGGACGATCACAGGCCAGTGGGTAGAAAGTCTTTGTGTCCAGTGGCGTTGTCAGCATCTCAGTGCTGGCAGGGGTCTTCATGTGGCTCCTCCAGTTCCCAGGGCTGCATCAGGATAGGTCCATGTGACTTCTTTTCAGGGGTGTCTTGCAGGAAGTCAGCCTTGTCAGTAGAGAATCGCCAAGGGAGTTGACAGAGCGAGCAACTCTCCTGCCTCCAGGGAGGAAATCCAGGAATTCCCAGAATTCTCAGGAGAAGGCCATGCTCACATAGAGGCCTCATTGCTTATATCTTGATTAACAGGCCACACTCCACCCCTTCACTCATAATCCTCTCAAATTGACACCAGATTATGTAACTACCACCCTACTTTAAAAAATATTTTCTACTTTCTTTTTGATCGAGACTTTTCTGTTTTACTTTGTTTTGTTGTTAGTTTTCTGTTTGTTCATTTTGCATGTTTTCCTGTACATGAAATCCAGGATAGGTAAATCTATAAAGACAGTAAACTGGATTAATGGTTACTTAGGGGTATGGCAGGGGAGGTTGGGGGTGGGCATTGGGAGCTAGTAACAATGAGTACAAGAAAGAAGAAAATGTTCTCCAATGTGGTGATGAAGAAGACTCTCCCTGATCTGATTGAGCTACTGAACCGTATGATATGTGAATTATGTACCAACAAACTTAAAAAAAAAAAAAGTGCTAGGAAACTTTGTGTTGAGCTAAATGTTTGCTTTAAAGATACAAGCAAGCTTCATTTGTGCACACCAGCAGGATCCTTCTTCCATCAGACTTCTGAACCCCTCAGGTCTGTTTGCTGAAAGGGTGAAGCTGCCCACCTTGTTGGCTTCTGTTTTGTTTACTCAGAAAC